GTTTTTTCCCTTTTAGTTTAAAAGAGGTTAAAAGTAAAACTTATACTTTATAAGTATATATAATTACTTAAAATATTTAATATCTTTTAAATACTTAAATAAACTAAAAATCTAATTATATTAAATAATTTAATAACCTTTAAGCCTTTAAGCTACTATTAGCTTTTATTCCCTTAAAATACTAATATATACTAAGACTATTAAGTTAATACTCTAATAATATATCACGTATAATAGCTTCTTAATAACGTAATAATATTATACTCTTTAAACTAATATTAAATAAAGAACTTAAAGTTAACGTTAATAACTTTAACGTATAAAGCTTAATAATTAAAGCTATTAATAATAATAATAATTACTTAATTATACTTAAACTTAAGAACTTTATTAATTAAGCTAAGTAAGATAAAGTATTAAAGAACGCTATTATAATTAAATTTATTACGCTTATTCTTTAAGAACTCTTATAATTTACTTCTTTAATAAAGCTTTATTTAAATAAAATTTAAAATAAGCACGTATAATAACTTATATTTAAAGAATAATATAATTATAACTTACTTATAGGTATTTATAGATTATACTTTACTTATATAATAAAAAAGATTAAAGTTAAAATAAACGCGTATAAAGCTTACTTAACGTTATAAAAACTTAACTAATAACGTAAAGTTAATACTCTTAATAAAGTTATTATTAAACTTATTATTAATACCTTATAAAAATATAATAACGTATAAAAATTCACTTAAGTATTTAAGGAAAAGCTATATAAACTTAAACGTATATAATTAACTTAAATAATATCTAAGAAGCTTTATTAGCTATAGTTTCTTATTAACTTAAAGAATATCTTTAATATTTTCCGTTTATAAGTCTATTAATAATACTAGGTAGCTAGTATTAATAATAATATAAATATTACCTTAAACTTACTAATAAATCTCACTTAAAATAAGTATTAACACTTAAAAATAAAAAAGAAGTTTATTAATTAAAGTAATAAAGGTCTTATTAATCCCTTTACCTATTATACTAATAATAGTACTAATAATAAGTATAAAAGGGATATAATAGGGTTAAATTAGCCCTTATAAAAGTAAATAAAGGCCTTAAAGCCTAATAACTATTAAGAGCTCTTTTAAAAGGTTTATAATATATACGAATAGCTAAATACCTTAGGTAATTATAATAATAATAAGTGTATAATTTAAAATAAATAGTATACTAGTAAGAATACTACGAATAAACGCCTAATAGTATATAACGTAAATGCTAATATACTTTAAGATATAAAAGTATTTCTAGCGTAGCTATAGAATTTAAGTGACTTTTTTATAGTAATAATTAATAAGAATAAGATTATTAATATAATAATTAAAGGTTATAAAGTAAACGTAAAAAGCTTTAATTAAATATTTAATAATATTATAAAGTATTATATTTATTATAACTAATATATATTTAAATTTTAT